TTTTTTTTTTTTTTTCTCTAATGCCTAAACCCACTTCATATTTCCTAAGAGAGTTTCTTTTTCCTAATTCTGCACATCATTTAAGAGGTCTCGTAGTAACCATGAAAACAAATTTCATCCTCTATTTTATGTTAAAATCTTAGTCTTATCCTGGAAATAATAGCACCACTTCAAACATATAAATTTTGATAACAAATTCCTATTATTATGGTCAGAAGAAAATTCACAAAAAATTATAGACAAATCCAAACCAACAACTTAATGATTAATATATGACAGAAAAAAAATTATGAACAATGCACACCTGAAGAAGATAGGAAAAATAAAACTTTATTTTCTTGAAGTTCCAAATACAAGCTTCTGTATTTCCCCTTCTTCTCCTTCAACAACAACCCATTTTTTCCCTCAATTTCCTTCTCAATTTTCTGCACTTTCTTTGAATTTCTGCTCTCTTTCTCCCTCTCGATCTCTCCAATTTTTGTTGCCCCCCTTGGCTGGCCAAAGCCCCCTTTTTATCGACAAAGGAGAAATCCAACCCTAATGTGCTTCTAATATCCAATCCAAATGCCGAAGATAACAACACAATCCTATTTGGAATGGGATGCCTTAGTTTTTCCCACATCTACCTCCTTTCAAGTCTAGATTCATACCTTTTATGCTTAGAACTCCTCAATTTGAATCAATTTCAAACTCTTCTTTTGTGCCACTTGATGATGACTTTTAATCTCTGAAAATTTCTTCAAAACTTGAGTAGATTTAGGGATAATCCAAGAAAATTTTGTAATTTATTTTTTCTGTTTTGAGAGGGGTTGGTGCAGAGCAAAGAAAGCAACGGGACTTAGGCAACTAGGGTTCCCAGCCTTTATTTTTATTTCAACCTACAACCAAAACTATGTCGTTTTGCCAATTCTTCCCTTCAGCCCTTCAGGTTTCATGTTTTTACAAAAATAGTCTATAGACTTCTAATTTTATCATTTAGCCTTTGATAAAATTGGGTTATGATAGTTGCCTCCTCTTTACTTCTCTCTCTTTTTTTTTTTTTTTTTTTGAAAAAGAAAAGTAAAGAATAAAAGAATAACCCAATTTAAGCATTAATAAGTGAAAGTTTCATCTTCTTCCTTGAGGTGTGGTTTTTATCTATAGTTTTCCAAGATGTAAACTTCATTCTTCTTTTCCTAACTACAATCTTGTTGAGATGCAATCCTCATCTAGGATGTAGTTTTCCAAGCTGTAAACTTCGCCTTTCTTTTCTGAGATGCAAACTTCATCTCTTCTTCTTCCTAAGATGCAATCTTCATCTAGGACGTGATTTTCCAAGATGCAAACTTCGTCTTTTCTTTTATGAGATGCAAACTTCATCCCTTCTTCTTCTTGAGATGCAATCTTCATCTAGGATGTAATTTTCCAAGACACAAACTTTGTCTTTTCTTTTCTAAGATGCAAACTTTATCTCTTCTTCTTCCTAAGATGCAATCTTCATCTAGAATGTGATTTTCCAAGACACAAACTTTGTCTTTTCTTTTCTAAGATGCAAACTTTATCTCGGATATAATTTTTGAAGACACAAACTTCATCTTCTCTTTTCTAAGATGCACACTTCATCTCTTCTTTTTCCTAAGATGCAATATTCATCTAGGATGTAGTTTTTTTTTAAGATGCAAACTTTGTCTTTCTTTTCTGAGATGCAACTACCCATTGATTTTAATCTCCTTTTTATTCTCATCTCTTCCCAAATTAACTATTTTTATTTCAAACTGATTAGGCTACAATTTCGGTTCTTCTTCTTTCGACATGTCAGTCAATTCAAGAAAAGGTTCAAATTCTTCATCATCTTCCACAAAATAAATTGGTTTCTCAAAATTACGTGTAAGTTCAAGAATGATATCACTATTTGTGGATTTATTATCAACAAACCTAGAGATGGAAATTTTGGCTAGCATAAGAAAATTGAATAAAGCAAAAGAAAATGAACAATTTTGCATATGAAGAAAGGATATGAAAATGAAAGTAACATCATTTATTGAAATGAGCTAAATGGGAACATTATTTGTCATGCCTACAATGCTTCATAAAATGTAAAAGGCTTGTTTTAACCCTCTATTCTCATGGTCACAAGCTCAACCACAAGAAGATTGACACATCTTACGATTTAATGATAGGAATATGAAGAATCTCTACTGTCCAATTGTCTAAAGCTTCATCATGAGTAGGCAAAATAACCTTGTCATCATTCATTCCTTCATCAATGACACATATACTTAACTTCTCAAAAGAAGTGCTCAAACCATCATTACTTGTTGAAGCTAAAGACTTGAACAAATCAACAGTTCCCATATCTTCATCGTCTAATACATCATCTACAATCACCTCGTTATCATAAGTAATTGGAATCTAATCAATTCTCAAATTCTCCTTTTTGAGTGCTACATCCATTGGCTCTGTGTCATATTTATACACAACTTCAGCAGGTTTTGGAAATGTCACTCAAATATGAGGAATATGTTGTTCCTCATTTGGTTCTCTTCCTTCTAACTTAGCTCAATGCCTTTCAACCTTCCTCCAATCCTTCCAAGTAGGTTTATAACCTAATCGAACCCTATTGATGTATCAATCACCTTAATTGGTTCCTCAATTCCTTGCAATCCAATTCTTAAGCCTTTTTCAACTTCAAAATGATTTTCCAACATCATCATGGCAACTCCCTTACTCACTCTAGATAAATTTGGTGTTCTCAAAACTAAGCCTTCTACAACATATGTGGTTGAGACAAACTCTGTAGAGTGGCAAGTTGCTTCTTGGCTCTAAGGATCTATTTCTACATATGGCACATATGTAGCCTTATCGATGGCATAATCTTTTTCACCATTACTGCAACCAAAGAATTGCCCACAATATATTTTGGCTTTTAATGCAAAGTAAAAGGTATTGCACCAACCATATGAATCTAAGGCCTTCCAAGAAACATATTAAATGCAAGCTTAATATTCATAACTTGAAAAGTTATGTCCAATGCATTTGGGCCAATGTTGACTGGTAATTCAATCTCTACGTCAACCTCTTTCCTTGTGCCATTAAAAGCACGAATTGCTATCTTACAAGGCCTAATGTATGACTACTCCACATGAAGCTGATTCAAAACTGAATGAGATATAACATTCAATGCCGAACCATTATCAATAAGCACTCATGGGACATGCATGTCTTTGTAAAGCATTGAAATGTGAAAGCCTTCACATGTCTTATTCCATCTTTAGGGATATCATCATTAGTAAAGTTGATAAAGTTTGGTGCAAGGATAGTCCTTATCACATTGCCAAATTTCTCGATATCAATATCCTTAAGGACATGAGCCTCATTCAAAATCTTCAACAAAGCATTTCAGTGGGCCTCTAATGCCAACAAGAGTTGTAAAATAAAGACCTTAGTAGGAGTTTGATTAAGTTGCTCCACCACACTATACTCACTTCTCTTCAAAATGTTAAGAAAATCATTTATTTGCTGCTCTAAAACAGATTTCTTGACTTGTTCCTCATGTATTTCCTCAATAATGATTCCCTTTTGTGACTCCTTCCCTTTACATTGACTTTCCACACCTGCATAATTGCATCCACTTCAAGTCATAAGAGAGATCTCTTCAATAAGGATTTCTTGTATGGAAACATAGGTACTAGTCTTATAATTCCAAGGAACAGCCTTATAAGAATTGAAGGCTGGCTTTGATGGTGGATAAAGAGTTAAAGGTGGTTGCTAAGAAGGTGATGCTTGCTTGCTTCCTTGCAAAATGAATGGCTTCTTTACACTGGTGGCAATACTTGACCCTTTCAATATCAAAGGCTATTTAGGAGTTGATGACACTTGATTGGTACTGGTAATTATAGTCTCCTCATGACCTTTATCAAAGTCTTTCTCAAAATTTGAATATCTTATTATCATGTTTACTATTGGTCCATCATGTGTTGGTAAGGGATTTTTAGTAATGTTCAGACCAACAACTTCAAGTTTTGATGTAATTTGTAACTCCTTTGCATCTATCAAATCTTGAATACGGTGCTTTAAAGCAAGACAATTTTCAGGTCATGCCCAACACCTCCACTATGGTATTCACATCTTGCTTGTGGGTTTATACCATGTTGGAAATGGTGGATTTAATGGCATTATAGATATAGGAGCAACAAGTCCAGCTGCCATCAACTACCGAAACACTTTAGTATATGACATTGGAAGTTTATCAAAATAACGTCTCTTTTTCTCTTGTTGCAAACAACTCATCCCAAAGGCATAAACAGGCCTTGGTTGACTTGTAAAGGTTGTTGATTGATAAGTTGGAGCTTGGAACTAATTGTTGAATTGCCCATGTGACTAATTATTTCTTCCACATGCCTTATAAATTGAGCTTATAGTGCCATTCTCATTTCCTTCTTTCAATTTTGGCCAACCTTTTTTGAACTAGAAACCCTTGAACTACCATTTTGGCATTGTTCAAGGGGACTCTTCATTGCTTGATAATCAATAATAATTATTGACTTGATTCCATCCTCCACTTATTCTCCCACAACAACCAACTGAGCAAAAGTGTAATTCACAAAAGTTATTAACTTCTCACAATAAGGCCCTTTGGTTGACTTGATGAATAAATTACTCAATTCATAGTCAGTCAATGAAGGTTGAACTCGAGCAGCCAATCCACACCATCTCTGAGCAAATTCCTTAAAGCTCTCACTTGGTTTCTTTTCCGTCTTTTGAAGATTTCTCTACTATGAGCTAATGATGTGTTGTATTCACATTGCTTCAAAAATTTGTGAGTCAAATCATGCCAACTCATAACTTTACTCCGTCTAAAGTTTAGAACCAAGCATCTGCAAGACCTATCAGATTGTCCTAAAAATAATGTATCATTAGCTTCTCATCATTAGCATAAGGAGCCATCTTCTTATAATAAATTAAGTAAGCATAAAGACAACCAATGCCATTGTACTTATCAAACTCAAGCAATTTAAACTTATGGGGAAGTTGAATGTTTGGGAAAAAGCACAAAGATGAACTGTCCATCAGTTTATTGGTTTGGACACCTTGCATTGATTTCAGTGCTTCCTTCATCAACTACACCTTTGCTTTAATTGCCTTATCTTCATCCTCTATGATTGACTTGATAACTTAAGTCTCTACTTGATCATTTTCATTAGACTGAACTATAGCAACACTAGCATTTACAATAAATGGTTTTGTCCTAGAAGCTCTAACAATAGTCAGATTTGGTGGGCTAAATGACATTAGCTCCTTTCTAATAGTTAAAGCAGATGTGGCAATAGGGAGATTTCCCATAGAAACATTTCCTTCAAACAAAGGATTTGTTGTCAAAGGTGCCCTTGCGACTAAGGTTGCTTGAAGAGATTAGAAGGAAGCCATCAATTCCTTCAAAGTATTTTCCATATTTTCAACACGATTTTCAAGAGCTCCCTTCTCTAAATTAGCTTTGTCAACCATCTTCTTTGCAAGAGCTTTAGTGAGAATAGGTGAATGAACTCTTGGATAATTCCTTTAGGACCAATCTTTCAACACTTGTAAGGGATATAAGCATTATTAACAAGTGATGGATTTATCTAATTGCCATTTTGAAAGATAAGTTCCCAAAGTTCCCATTAAATAAAATCAATGAGTAAACCTATCTTCTAATTATTTATTTTACACATGGATTCCTCATTGTTAAAGGTAACTTTAGCCAATTGTTGTAAGGAAAGGTGATATGAGAACCAAATAATTATCACACAAACCAAAATCAT